GCGGGCGTGCGTACGTGCGTGCGTGCGCGCGCGCGCGCGCGCGCGCGCGCGCACTTTGTAATGTGTATTGCCTCAAGTTGCACTTATTATTTTGTGTATTTGTTTGGGTATATTGTTTATCAAATGTCTAATTGTTTCTTGTTTCAAATTATTCCATTCCTCTTTCATGACGGAGTGTTTTAAAGTTTGAGCATTATGTTTCCCAACTTTTCGTTTTAACATATCCCATAAATGCTCTATAAGATTTACATCTGGACTCATAGCTGATCACAAAAAAAAATAACCCGTTTTGTAACACAATTTTTAAAACACTATAACTTTCTCAAAAGAAATCGTAGAAAAATGATCAAAAAATGGATTTGTTAGAAAATCAATGAGCTTGAAAACTTAAAAATTTTTACACTAGGCAACCGACTTCCCTGACTAGCGCAATAATTTAAAGAAAAATTTTTATTTACTATTTTTCTAAGTCTGTCTTTAACGTCCGCCATTTTATAAAGCATTTCTGGAATTAAAATAGAAAATTAAAATAGAAAATATTGTGATTATAAAGATCTAAAACAATTCTGGTAATGGATAATTGATCTCGAGAACAAGAAATCGAGGAATCAACTTGTAAACACGAATGTCAGACGTAATCTTCATTAGTTTAAAATTTAGAATAAAGTATATATTGAATCCGACCGAAAGACAATTAATTAAAGATAAAAAAGATATAAAGATAAAAATATATTGTTGGATATTTTTCCACTTTACCGTTTCAGGACAATTGTGGACAATATTGTGTGTTGTAATAATAGTAAAAAGGCGTTGAGTTTGACAAATCCAGATATGTCTGAAAAATTATTTATATTACTGAAGATAATTGAAAAAAATTACTTTTTAAGATCTTACTTTCTCGTTTTCATCCATTATAAATGGTTAACTGCATATATAAGCAAAGTAAAAGATGTTGCTAGATGTTGCTAAATTAAGATTTTTGTTTCCGACTTTAAATGTTAATCATTAACATTAATATAACATTTAATTGATACGTATGAGACTGCAGGTAAAACATTCCTCCTACACCTACGAATTGTTACTGTTAGTTGTCGTTACCAGTACTGCTTCCTACAGCGATTATTCTTAATTTCGTGCTTTGAGTTTGCGCGATAGAATACTTATTGAGAGCCAACAGTAATGGTTACAGAATCGTACATAATTGAATAATGAAACTTCTCAATAATAATTTATTCTTTTAGACAATATCGTTTACAGTTGAAGTTTTTAAATATTACTGTATTTTTTAGCAAACGTTACTATTTTTTCAGTAAGCATTTACAAATTTAAACTAAAAATTGAGAATAAGCGAAAATTCAGAGACTATCACTGTTTTTCGAGTCTCAGTGCGAGGAGTATCGCAAGTCTTGCGTTACATTCAGATAGTGTTTTACTAACGTGAAAATACAACGACTTTCGTTGCCCACAAAAGGTGAAAAAGAAAAGAGAAGTTGTGGGCGTCCCGGTGCGGAGGTTTTTATACGATCCGGGACTTTGATGATGAGCTTGTCCTCGATAAAGATTTGCGATAGTCTGATTGAAGCGAGCGTCTGTGCACGTTGGCCGAGAGCGAGAAGTAAGACCAATTTCTTAGTAATGATTTGAAGCGAAAGAGACTCGTAGGGAAATTGGGTTGCAAGTTTTGCGAGCTGGGGCTGGATCCCAGATGTAATCATATCGAGGGCGCGGAGGTTTAAGAACTCCTGCCCCTTTACAAAATCGCCTTACCAGCGTGTGATTTCCAATTTCGTTATGCGTGATAAGCGAGATAGCGCTGCGAATAGTATTAATTACTGAATATGAGTTTGCCCGCTCTAGTTCTTGAGCTAAAAATTCCAAGAATTTTGGAGGACTTGGTGTAAAGAGAGGCACTGCTGCGGACTGGCAATAATGCCACCAATCTTTAAGGGGCTTCGAATATTGCCGAATTGTCGATTTGGCTAGCGAGGCTAATGTGGCCTTCAATGGCGGAACCTCTCGGCTGAGGAAAGCTAACCTGATAAGCTCCCTGCCGCCAGGGAAAGTCTTCCATGTCGGGTGGTGGCCTCTGAAAGGAGAAGAAAGTAAATCGTGAGACGACGAGAAGATTATAGGTTCCGTAGACAGAAGGCGACAAAACAAGGGAAACCAGGCCTGCAATGGCCACCAAGGAATTATCACAACTCCCCTTACTTTATCATTCACAATTTTTCGCAAAACCCGAGGCAGTAGGATGAAAGGGGGGAAAGCGTAAAACTTTGTTCCCGTCCAGGAAAAAGTAAACGCGTCCACGCCTACCGAACTCGGATCTGGAAACCACGAGATGTATATAGCGCATTTCGCGTTTATGTTCGAAGTAAATAGATCAATGTCAAAAGGACCGAATTGAGATGAAATCTTCAAGAAAGCGTCTTGTGATAGGGGCCATTCTGTATCTGGACTTACGCGTCTAGATTCATGATCGGCAATGGAGTTGTCAATGGAGGCAATATAAGATGCGAACAATACAATATTTCTTTCCTCACACCATCTTCAAATCTGTTTTGCTAAGGCCATTAAATGAGGATATTGGATAGATCCAAAACGATTAATGTACAAAATTGCTGTCGTGTTGTCTATGCGAAGAAGAATCTCGCAGTTGGAGAGATCTGCTGCAAAACATTTCAAGGCGTAAAAAGCCGCTTTAAGTTCGAGGAAGTTTATATGCGCCGATTTCTCACTTTCTGACCACCAGCCGTGCGTGCAAAACTCACCGCAGGAAACACACCAGCCAGACAGAGATGTGTCTGAGTATATTTCTCGCGCTGCCCTTCCCGAATGGAGGATGCGGGATTGGTTAGCATCTGATAAGATTTTAATCTACTACTGAAAGTCTTCTTTTAAGTGTGGCGAAATCTCCATCTTAGCTGCATAGTCTCCTTTTGATTTTTCTAATGCTAAGAATTTTTCTCTCAAATTCTCTGGAATACAAAAGTCCGTACTGTACAGCTGAACAAATCGAAATTAAAAAGCCAATCATACTTGCAAAGTCCCTAATTTGGCATCTGGATTTTCTTGAATACTCTAGCATCATTTTGAATAAAGCTGTCCAACGTTTTGGAGGAATCATAATCGATAGAGCTACTGACAATGAGTTAAAAATAAAACCCAAGTATTTGCAGTTTTGTGTGGGTGTAAGCTGTGATTTTTCGTAATTGAAAAGAAAACTGAGAGAGGACAGAAGCGACATAGATGCTTCTAAGTTCCGTAAGGTTTCTTCCCGCGACGAGCCAATGAAAAGGAAATCATCTAGATAAATGACTGAGCACCAACCTTTCTTTCGCAAATGAGCCATTACTGATCTTAAAATTTTGGTAAATATATATGGTGCTGTAGACAGTCTAAAAGGTAAGGCTGTAAATTCGTATGTGGTGCCTCACCACTGGAAACGAAGAAAACGACGACTTACATAAGCTATCGGGACACTAGTAAGTATGCGTCCTCTAAATCTAGAGTTGCCATCCATGAGTCCTGCATCATTAGTTGGGTTACCAATCGCTAATTCTCCAGTTGGAAATGTGGAGGTGATAGAAAAAGGTTCAGATCCTTCAAATTCAAAATAAAGTGCATACCTCTAGATGCCTTCTTAATAAGAAAAAATTGAGATAGGAACTGATCTGCAGAAGGGTAAGTAATTATAATGGCACCTTTTGAAAGTAACCTTTGGATCTCCTTATCACAAGCTTCTGCTTCGGCTGTAGAAAAAATTGGTTCCTGTAAAAAATTACGTGGCGGAGGTTAGGAGGAAAATGGAATTTTATAACCTCGAATAGCCTGCAGTACTTCCGGGTCACGCGTCAATTTTTCCCACTATAAAGAGAAATAGGATAATCTTCCAGCAGGCCTTACGTCGTCTAATGTCGAGACCGGGCCCGGGAACGAGAGCGATGACTGGTGCTCTGGAAGCGGCTCGGCTTGCGTGTGGCTGCTGCGAGTCAAGGTTGAATGTTTCGGGACAGGGGCCTTGGAGTTTCCCTTCTGAGCTGGAAGCTGCTTAGCTGATTGCTGTTGAATTGGCTGATATCGCACTCTGGTATTCAGGCTTGAGGGAAATCTTGATGAGTCTTTGTCTGCCTTTTCACATGCTTGAGCCAATCTGAGACCTTCTGCGAAGGATGAGCCAAACAGCCATTTATCCACTAAGGCTGTATCGGCTGCTGACTTTCCCACATAAGTGAAGCAAGGCTTGATAAACGATTGTCTAGCAAGAGATAACCTGTACTGATAATTTGCGAGCAGATGGATACCTTCTACCAAATTCGAGATAGCCTCTTTTACGCTCGTTTGAATTGGTTGATAGGATTTTAAGAGATTAGATAAACCAGAGCCAAATGCATTAAGGCAAGCCCTAACTTGTAGCTGCGCCTTTACTTGATACTGGTCTCGTTTCAAAACACTAAGATGTTTCGATAGGGCTGATTTTATTTTGTTATTTAACCGTGGTGGGCTCAAAACCGCTAAGTTCTCCTTGAGCTCGAATTTCGATAATAGGGTCGTTCGCAGCTCGTACTTCAGACCAGATTGAAACCTCACCTCTAGTAGACTCAAAAATTACTGCGTCCCAAGAGGATTCTTTCGTAGCTGGGTGCTCTCCAAACAATTCATTTGCTAGAGAGGCGTTGTTTTCCTCATTCGAGTCGGGAATATTGATAAATACCTGGGGTTCGAAGCCAACTGTAGGTACGCTTTGTTACCCTGAAAAGATAAAAAAGCATGGTCAGAGAAAGCAGTCGGTTGTGTTCCTTCTTTGCCTTAACGAAGGAACATACCTGGTTCGCCGCCCCGGTTATAAAGAACCGTCTGCTCCTTAGCCTGCATAAAAACCTCTGGTTGAGAGATTTCGCCTGAATCTCTCATCAGGCAAGGATCCGTGTCCTGATCGGACAAAGCGTCTGACGTTTGGCTCGAAGCGACTGTTTCCGGGATCCTCTTGTGTTTTTTCATGAAGGCAACGAATCTTTCTGAGGGCAAAAGCCAGTTCATCTCGAGACGGGAGACCGGAAGAGTCTGAACACGAAACGCTATGTGATCTAACCTCCAAATGTGGTGTATTATGCGCTGCGTGATGATGTCTCGAATCTCGTGCGTAACTTTTCCAATCACGTTCCCGCGAATGTTTTCTTGCGATGATGATGCTTATGTCTGTATTTAGGCATTTTAGGCTTCAAAAACTAACTGTGCACAAAGGGCGAAGAGATAACGAACGGCGAGATTAGAGGATTTCTAAATGATTTACTAATATCATCCAATATGATTTTTGTGTGTGAATTAAAATCTCTTGAAAAAATTTCGAAAACAACAATATCTCCTGTAAAATAAAGAAAAATAAATTTAAATATAAAATAACTTCTTTATAATCTAAAAGAAGAGAGCATCCCATTTGGACATATGATGTATACAGATTTCGTAAATAATTAAAATATTTGTTATACCATAGATTTTCTCGTCTAACAAATTATGCTGATAAGTTATATGTTCAAATGTGATGTATGTAATAGAGTTAGACATATATTAATTAGACATAGATAAAAAATTACAATAAAGAATAAAAAATATTTTTTTTCAATACATAAAAAAAGTATTGTTTTCAAAATTATTTATATTAAATTTGGAGTATTGCAGAAAGTAAAAAATAATGTTATTTACGATTGCATATAACAATAATGGAAATACACTTTTCAGTTTATATAATATAATAATACAAATCACACATGCCTGTTTCGGATAATGTTATTTTTTCAAATCCAGGACAATTTTTTGAACAACAAAGATATGTTCATTTTCCAGTGAAACGCTCTGTTTTACTCGAGGGGTAAACCGCTGATCAAAATCGTGTACACCAATGCCTACTAATGCCCAATTATTGGGCATTACTGTCAATTTTTTTATGTAATACCCACTAATGTCTTAGTAATGCCTACTAATACCTATTAATGTCCTACAATTCCCTAATAATACACTGTAATTCCCTCAGTAATGCATAACCTTATTATTCCACTTATTATAACACACAATATTAACAGTAGTATAATATAATTATATTTATGTAAAACAGTATACATGCGCATTTGTAATTGTACTACATAAAATTAATGTTATTAAAAATTAATAAGTATTAAATTAAAAAAAACAAAATACATTTGTTACGTCTTGGGCTTTAAAAAAGATGCAGGGAGTGGGATTTATCTTTAGATTGAGGGCAGAGTGAAGCTATTAAAATAGGAGAGACGCAATCAGAGATGGCTAGTCTTTAAAGTGGGCCGAGCGGAAATAATGACTGCCAGTGTCCTTGAATTTGGTTATTAAATTAAGTTAGATATTTAATAAACAAGATAAGTATAATTTTGACTCTACGCGCTTTTGATCATCATTTTGCGTCTGTAAGGAGGGGAAATGACGGGAAATAAGAAAATTTGTTATGATTTATTTTACTTTCTTTATTTTAATATTTAAATTGACTGTTTGCGACTTTATTATAGCTGGTTTATTGTGTATGGCGTGCGTGTTGCGTGGTGGAGCTTGCTTTTCCACTCATGCCAGCCGTGTGGGAATTCATGAAGGCGCGTAGGCATCCGCGTGAGATAGGGGAGGAACCTTACGAGGGGGCGATGCAGGCTGCGGGAAAGGTACCTCGGGTTTGTGTTGTGAGGGTACGAAGGACCTTGGAGAAGGAGGTTGGTCAGGCGGGTAAGTGAAATACCCGGGATTTTCTGAAAAGCATGAGGGGTCAAATTCCCCAGCCTGAAATAGCTTCTTTCGCAATCGCCTCAGAGCCCGTTTTCGTCCCCCAGCCTTGGAGCGGCGTGCCCTTTAATAATTAAGATTTACGGGAGTCGTATTTATATGTATATAAGCATATATATATATATATATATATATATATATAAATATAAAATATAAAATATAACAGCAATTATGTCGACGACGACGACGATGACGGCGTGTCTGACTCGCGAGATGAGACTGACGCGATCTGTATCGCTGAATACATTTTTTTAAAGTAAGAATATTTAATTATAATATAAAATAATAGTAATAATATTAAATCACGCGGATTTATACATTGTGTCCACTTATTTCTCATAACAAAAAACTGTACATACATTTTCCCTTTTTTATCATA